ATATTGCACCGGAAGTCTTCCATACTCGCAAATTTACTCAAGAATCAGATGTGTATTCTTTTGGTATTATTATGCATCTGATGGCCACTGGTGAACCACCATTTAGAGATAGGCAGTTTGATACAAGTTTAATACACGAGATTATGGATGGACTACGACCACCGATGCCTGATTCAGCACCCGAGGAATACAAGAAACTTGCCGAGCGGTGTTGTGATGCTGATCCTGATAAGCGTCCAGGTGGATGGACACTTTTGGATGATATTAGAAAGCTTATTAATGAAGACACTTCTGATAGCAACGCGTGGAATGCCGTTTATCATAATGATGTAAAACTATTTTTAAAGCCAGTTTAACTGTTAGCGATTTAAGCAAAAGTTGAGGTTAACCAAGCCTGTATTAAAACGTTAGATTCCAAGGCCAATTACTAAACGCTCTCGTTGAAACGTATGTGCATTAGTGTCAGCTAATCTTTGTTATTTCTAGATAATTGAAGCCAAGTTTTAGTTATCATGCAGAGTCAGAGTGACACTTTTTTCGATAAATTTTGTAAAGACAAAATGAGAATCTAAATTACACAGTAGATGCAGTAGCGATATAACATTGTTGTGACAAAAACATGCGACCACCCCTGAAATTTGCTAGTAAGACATGGAAACAGTCTTTTTTTTTTTTTTTTTTTTTCTCGAAAATCTCCATTGTCCATAAATTCGCCAATAATATATCTGTATTTTTCATACGTGTAACATATTTATCGAACTGCAGGTAATGGGGGCTGAATATAGTACGATATAAAATTTACAGACAGTGGAGATTTTCAAAAATAAAGGGGGTTTACTATGTTTTATTAGTAAATTTCGTTATTATTATTATCGGAATGCATCCTTATAAGGTAAATGCTATTAGAAAAAGCGAAAGAGAAATGAGGATTATACAAGTCGCACCAGAGGAAAAGTTTAAACTTTTTTGTCTAGTATGAAGATCTTGAGTAACCTTGTAGGGAAAGAGACATAGATGAACAGATTGATTAGGATTAGGGAGAATGCGCTAGGATATGTATGTTAGAACATTCAAATAAGAAGAAGAATGTTTGGACTAATCTTATCATACAAACGTTTGAATTGACAAGACCGCAATCGAGAACTCCCATAGTAGATGGGTTATTTTTGATACTGCACAGACGGGCAATATCATTTGACAGACGTAAAAATACTTTTTTGATACGTTACTCGTGAACATATGGGTACGACCTTTACGGATAGAAAATATCCATATCCAGGTGTGTGTTCCCCAGTCTTGGACGGGGTTTGCTAGGGTATTTGTGAGAACTGTATTAGTATTGCACACATTGGAAGGGGGCGCAATCGAGCTTGCAATTTTGGAATTCCTGAAGTATGCGCGGTAACACACGAGTGAGTATTTCCATTTGCGGTGCTTATAAAATGTATTATTTACATTCCATCCAGTCAAAATCGAGCGTGGTCGCTAATTATAATAACAAATGACAATAATAAATAAGATTTTGTAAAGTTTCGTACCATATTACTTTATTAATAGCCCACACTATCTCACATGTCCCTTGTCATACTTGAATATCCCCCTATATACTCTAGTCCCCTCGAGATACAAGAACTTTGTGCTCCGTCGATTTTCCTTGACGCTCGTTCTCTTGTCAGTTGATGTCTTTCGTTTATACCTAATACTATACTCCTATATCTTATCTCTCTGTATAACGTCACTCCTCGGTCGTGCGGTACTGAAACAAAAAGAAGAGGGAAATGGCCATTCACAAGAATCTTGCCCTCCACAAGAGGAATCTGAAAAAAAAACATGATAAACCGCTGGTGTCTCCTACTGTAAAGAACAGCGGACAAAAGAAAAACGTTTGGGAAATACCGAGGAAAGTGTTTCATTCGTCAATAGGTAAGCAGGCAGTTGGATTCTCAAGAGATTGAATGTACGAAGGGGGAGAGGGGGGGGGGGGGGGGGGAAACCATGGATATGTTTTGTTGTTGCAGATAATGCAATTTAGTTTGCTAGTCTGAATTAAATGCTCTTCTTATTATATATCCGTATCTTTATAAATTCGCTCACAAAATTAACGCTATTTCTCTAGGCTTTCCAGTTCTTTACTTATATTCCATGCACGCAGATGCCCTGGCAATCAGAAATGTCCTTGCTATCTTGTTCGTCATGGGAATAACGGCGGATCTCCTTCGCTTCAATATCCAATGGTTCAATACCATATATATCAAGATATTTGGATTTCTTATGAGAGAGGTTGAGAAGCGTGATAAGGTTAACGGCGTGGTATTCTATCTCGCCGGATGTATTTTGGTTTTATCGATATTTCCTCAGGTGAAAATCAAAGGGAGAGAACGAGCAGTGTGGAGTTGTGTATAGTTGAAGTTCTTGATTGCTGCGTTATAATCGCTTTCTATTATAGATTCACATTATGCATATCAAATATTTCCTTTGTCTTTGTCTTCTCTTGCAGTTCTTACATTTCTTGTATTTACTCTTTCTTCATTTAGGATATAGCAGCCATATCAATCTTAATTCTATCTTGGTGTGATACCGCTGCTTCCTGCTTCGGCCGTGCATTTGGACATTTGACGTATAAATTCTCCAGTGGTAAATCGGTGGCAGGGACACTGGGTGCCATCCTTACTGGATGTTTGGCTGCTTATGTGTTCTGGGGTGGCTGGATAGATCATAACATTGTCCGAACGCCTAGCTGGCAGCCTGAGAAGAGTGTATTGTCATTGCCTGTCTTGACTTTGTTGACTGGAATTATTGGGGGGTTTAGTGAGCTAGTGGATATCTGGGGATTGGATGATAACTTTGTCATTCCGGTAATTGCAGGAAGTTCATTATGGATTATTTTAATCGGCTTTGGGTTTGGCGGTATATGAGAGGGAAGCAGAGAAGGGGCTCGAATATATTGGCGAGCGTAAAGAATTAGGACGATCTTGTCATACGTGGGCCGTTTACACGTTGAGCTGAAATTCAACCACTTAAGGACTATGAAACTAACACAGTAATAGCAACAACGAGGATGCTTATCGGACCTGGCTGTTTGCTTAATATACAGTACGTCAATATAAGAATATTGATAGAAAAGAGGGTTAGATTTAGAAGTGTCGGGAGGATTTATGGTTTTTTATCGCCTGTTTTGTTAGCGTAGTAGTTTTCTATTCAGTTATCTAAATCGAAGTATCAACTAATTCAAAATTAGCACAGTGTCATACCAATAATATATTGGGAGGTTAGATATATCGGTACAAACAAAAGGGAAGTCTCGATAAAATTTTTATAATCGCGTAGGATTTAACTTTGTATAAATTTTACATATGAACTTCAAACTACCAAGGCTTACTTACAGTGACACGTGTTTTAACACCCAGCATATTAACAAAGGAACCTTGCTTATAAGCTAGCTTGTGATGTACTTTCATATGCAAAGAAGAAATAACAATATCATTATAGTCAAATGGCAATGCAAGTCCAAAATAGTAAATGGGTCATTGATTCTTGACGGCTGCGGAAAAAAATATCCCCAATTGTTTATAATAATTGTCAGCCAGGCGTATACGCCGACGTTTCAGGAAATCGTGAACGTGTCGGCACACTTGTTGGGTAAATGCGATTGATCAGTTGATAATATGCAGAGCGTTAACGTCATAGTCGATCGCATTTATCTTAAAGTTACAATCAGCATCTGGTGAAAGATTGTTAATATGCGCTCGTCTCGAAACCTTAGTCGGTAACACTGCAGGTTAAGACCAAAGCTGGTTACACTACCGAACTATATTTATCGAAACAATAAGTGATATGTATATCTGATATATAGGTGTGAGGGGGTTGGGTTGGTAAAAACGATAAAAGCGAACAAATCCATTGCACTCATGTTATCTATGACATTACCGTTCTCATATACTTATCAAATAGTCGTAAACACCGTTTGCATATACGAGCGTCAACCTTAGTCGAGGATGGCCACACGCTTCTTGATTGATGGCATACCCTGTATACGACTAAACGATTAACTTGAAGTATTACGAGAAAGCCAGCGTCGAGTAAATAAAATAAAGGAAGGCACGACTCCAGCTTATTCAATACATTCTTCACCACAGCTGTGCTAAACTGATTGAACCTCCACTTGAGGCTCCGGGGCCAACCAAGGCCATGAAATGAGAATCACTGCCGAACAGGACAGTATAATATTGCCAACTGCTACAGATATAGAAGCGGGATGGGGTCTGGACTTTTCACAACTGGATAGACACGATGTGTTTAATTTTCAGTATTTGGTAAAGCAGCCCACGAGAGCGCAGTACAAGCCAGGGTCGCACGACTCCAGCTTATTCAATACATTCTTCACCACAGCTGTGTTAAACTGATTGACCCTCCACTTGAGGCTCCGGGCCAACCAAGGCCATGAGAGGGAGATATGAGAGCGCAGCATAAGCCAGGGTCGCACGACTCCAGCTTATTCAATACATTCTTCACCACAACTGTGCTAAACTGATTGAACCTCCACTTGAGGCTCCGGGCCAACCAAGGAGGACGACATTCACAAAGAGTTAGTCATTGCTGAAGGGACTAAAGCTCTATCCAAACGTACTATTTACCGCTGGAGTGAGCATTCGAAGCCGCGAAGCTCTTATGGAAGTAAATTACTCCCCTCTACCCCTCACAGTGATTGTTAATTTTAACAATCTCGATTGTACTGATGGGGGAGGTAATTTAAGATCATCAATTATTGTCTCGGCGAATAATAAAGATCACGCGTTTCCTACATGTATTTAAAGCTACATGGACAGGCCAATGAATTCACTGAACACTCGTTTTTCTCTCAACAAAAAGTAATCGCCGGTTCAACAGCAAAAAGCATCATCGTAAACATGTTCAAAACCATCTTCAGTTCAAATTTCGAATCTGATCAACCAATGAAAGATCATGGTTTCAGCATTTCAGCATCAGGTGGACATACTAAATCATGGACTAATAGTACTAGATGCTATTGTTGCATTTTCTTAATACATTCTTTTGTAATTTATGATTAATGGAATAATTAGAGAACTTACATGAGGAAAATCCTTTTTACGTGATTATTTATTCAAAGTTGCGACAAGTAGTTTGTAACTGTCCCAATGTGTCGGACGAATATTTAATGTCGCAGCTGAAACCATGATCTTTAATCAGATTCTATTCTCTAACCCCATTGGTTAGTTTCAGCTTCAGCATCAGCCGCGACAATAAATAATAACAATAAAATATTTGCTAAAAATATTAATATTTTAGTATCTTTTTTATATAATAAATAAATCGAATACGTAATTCTATATATACGGTAACGGCTGTATTGATGATATCTTTTTTATTTAGTGAAAAAGCAAACTTTATCGAATACATTATTCCATATACACAATAACGTCTATATTGATGATAAAAAGATACGTTAATATAAATAGACTTCAGCGACCACCTTTCTTTCCCTGTATCAAAATCAACTCTTCCTTCCTTTCACCAACACTACAGTTACAATATGACTCAACATAAATTCTGAACGTACCAACTCAACAAAATTTCAACCACTACATAATTCAACCCTTCAGACATCAAACACACAATTGACGATCGTTTTAACATTACATTATCTGATTTAAATACTCACCAAACCGCCACTATCAACTTGGCGACCATCAACACGTTTACGAAGCCTTCACACACGTTTTCAAAACACTATATTTTTCCTGCACATTTGCTTATCATGTGCTTATTACTTTATCCCCCCCAAGAAAAAACTACCCTTATTTCTTTATCACAGGTTCTGCAGGAACAGGAAAAATCGAAACCTGGTTAAATTCACACAAAAAACTTACTTCCAACAGGCGTACGTAGCAGCACAAAATATTGAAGAATCAACAATTCACTCTACACTTAGATTAACACAGGTTATCGTACCCTCCTTTTTCATGATGCGGAGGCTAGAAAAAAATTGCTCAAAATTGACACCAGGATTATGAAATATCAATGGTGTTGGCATCACTGCTCACATTCATTTCAGGCTTATTTAAACTATTCAATAAACATGACGCATAAGTAAATAGTTTACCTCAGCATAATATAACTCATGTGTCTTGTCTGTTATCTCAAGCGGAATTAATTTAACACGTTCATAATCAGAAGAAGGTAGACCACCCAAGTATACCTCACCATCAATACAATCGTATGGAATCCATTCCAAATAGGGTTGATTTGCTGAGTTTGTTTGTAGTTGAGATTTCTTAATAAACTCGTCGAGTTGCTTATTGTTGCTAGTCCACCCATTGGATAATTGTTTATGTCCACAGATGCACCACACGGGACCGCATCGGAGTATTCCACATGCAGTGCAGAATCCATATCGGGAATAACAGTGGTAAAAGAGTTCATTCGCAACCATGTAATACTTATTTTCATATTCAGTAAACCCTTTTATGAGTCTGTTGCGATTCTTAAGCCATACGGAATGTCTCCTGAACTGATTAACATCATTGTTGTACTTGTGTGTCGGAAGCGAGTATATTCTAGCAAACTCACTAACAAGTGTTGGTGTACATGTCTCGTCATTTCCAAGTGATACCAGCGTTATCTTAAACTTTTCTTTGCGGATAGCATAGTGGACAGCGTCTATTGTTTACATTATCTTTTAAAAACAAATACACCCAATTATTCACCACAGTAATAATAGAGGTGTTTGTAAGTCGACACCTGTCAGCACCAACTCGGCTGTGACGCTTACCTGTCCTAGTAGGTATATATTATCGGGACATTTCTTCTTTACTGATATTCAGACGTCACGAATCGCAGCTACACCAGCTCGTGAGGCATAGCCAGATTTATTTCGAACGCTATGTTATTATCTATTTCTCTTGTTGGGGATAATTTATCGCTATTCTTATTTTTATTGTTAAATATAGATTATACGAACGAATATAGCAATTTTGTCATTATAAATTTTGACAGTTTGACTATGCTACGTAATAATGATTAACCGTTTTTTCTTCGCAAAAGGAAATTTTGATAATCTGTTAGTAATGTTCTGGAAAATCGTATAGTAGCTATTCAACAAACAGACAAAAATACGGCATACACACAGTGAAACCATGTTACAACAGACGCAGCGATTCCAACACTTTCTCCGTTAAAAGAAATCGCTAAATTGAGTTTCAAATATATAAGATATTGAAAAGCGAACCGTGTGGATTGGCTATGAAAGTTCTCCGTACCGTAAGATAGGCGGGGCGGTGAGGAATTCAAGCTTGCGTGGCCTTTTGCCGGAATTTTTGTTGTAGACACTTCAAAATGATTTCAATATGGCAATTAGGTCGTATAAATCTGCCCAATAGTGCATGTACATTGTAGTAGAGCACTAAATAATAGTCTTCCGTAGACGGCTCTTGAGCTACGCCAATAATACAAACATTCGCATTGGCAAAATCTTCATTCATAATTTATTTATGACCTCACTTTTTGTTTGCGTTCTCTCCCAGATTCTACCTTCATAAAAAATTTTTGCTTCCGCATCCCCGGGATTATGGTCAAAACGAATTGCCACTATTTCTGATGGGTGTGTTCATCCACGGTCTCACTTCTGGGTATTCTATTGTCAACTATTTGGTACACAACACGTACGACAATGACCTGATTACACGTGCTTAAGCATGACGTATTCCTCCGCGATTTCTGCTTAGTGGTAAAAACACGTAATAATATTGGCTTTTTACTAATAATACTGTTGACATTGTTTACACGTGAAATAATTTACCTGATAAAAACTATCACTATCGATCTGCTATACATGTGTAACCATGATGTGATGGTGTCATTATTTGTATGTCTGTTAATTGAGAATATTCAATCCATTGTATGTAGGCGTCGCCATGTTCCTTGTTGCCAGTTGTCCAATTGATAGATTTTGGTGCTCTGCAATGATAACAGAATGCATTTATTCTAAGTTCTAATCGAAGTGTACACGGCAGGCATAATATCTAGATAATATGTTTGTTTCCTTGCTTATATGTAAACCCGATGGTAACCCAAACATCTTTGGTAAGAATACCTGGATGCTCGGCACAAACTAATGGAAACAGTACGTTATATTGAGTCAGCATTGTTTCCAAACGATTAAATAAACGCGATACGTAATTGAATAATTTACCTCTCATAATATGAACCATCTGTCTTGTCCGTTATCTCGAGTGGAATCAATTTAACAGCTACACGTTGATCAGTAGGTAGTATACTTAATATCCCCTATCACAAATACAATCAAATGGAATCTATTCCAAATAGGCATCATTTGCAGAGTTTGTTTGTAATTGAGGTTGGTCCATGAACAATTGTTTATGTCCACAAATGCACCACACGGGACCACAGCAGAGTATTCCATGTGCGGAGTAGAATTGATATCGATTGTAGAAGCGTGGGAGAGTAACCATGCCATGTAATACTTCTTGTCATTAGACTTGGTAAATCCAGTTATGTGTATTCAAGCCATCTTTTGTGTCTTCTGAAGTTATCGTCATATTTTGTGTGTCTGAAGTGAATGTTTTCTAGCAACTTCACACTATTCATAAGCAAGCGTTAGCAACATTATCGGTGATCTACCATAAAACAGTGTTTGCTTGCGAATGACGTGATGAACAGTGTCGATTTGCTTGGCTTTATGTCTGCAATCTCTGAATAAGAAATCCATTCAAGTTTATTATATTCAGTTGCGAGGGAGGCTTTAATTAATCTGTCAATTGCTTTGTAAGACATTGTTCAGAAGTGAAAAAAATTCTGATAGCTCGGAGAGTTTCTCTACGTCGTTTGTACATTATTTCAATACGGGATTAATATGACGCAATTAACGCCATCTCAAATATTAATTTTTTGACATTTTTATACACTAGTCCAATGCATTATTATTATGCATGCATTGAATGCATCGATACCTCATGTGATTCACCAGAGTCTAACTATTATTATTGGTTGATGAATAATAGTGCTTACTATTACCGTTGATCATCATGCACAATTTTGTATAGCCATTCTTTTAAGCAGTAGGAATTTTGAAATCTTGTCACGTGTGTTGAATAAACATTTTTATCTATAAACTCACATCAAAAAGTAGTAACAAATATTATGTAATTTAAACTTACGTATATTGCCATGTTAACATTGATTAAACATCACGCGATGCTTGAATAAAAAAAAAACACCTTTAACAAGTGTAACTACGATGTCAACTTCAAATTTTTATTATGATACAGAAAAGTCTCGTTGTCTATACTCAATAATACGATTTCAGTTACTTAGCCCCGAAGAAGAGATGCGATTTTCCGAGGAAAGTGAATATTCAATTGGTGATGCGTTGCAATTACATAAAAAGTTTCCTTACTTAATCAACGATGGCTACTTTGTCGACATGATAATTATCTCCCATGTCAAACTATCTATCGAGATGGTTGATTGTCCTGCTTTCCTGATAGTGTTGTATGTAAATCTTAAAAAATAAAAATAAATAAAATAAAATTTTTTTACTGACCGATATCTGTAAGTATACTAATAACGGCAAATTTTAAAAAAGTTTGCCTTTGCACTTGTTATTCGCTGATCTAATTAAAGAAACTCAGCTAATTCTGCTAACAATTGATCCACACTATACCGATCGATATGTGAATTATGGTTTCTTTCTAAAAATTTCTGTCTATTACTGTTCAGCTATTTCTCTCAACCTTGTATACTGAGTTAATGGAATGTTACATGATTCATACAGTAAGTATAATTAGGTAGGTTATGCATAAAAAAAATCAATGAGCACCTTTCGTATGGCTTGTCCCAGCTTCTTCATTATCAGTGGTGATTCTTCCATTAGTGCAACGGTGCAATTTGAATAGAAATACAATTGTATCAAAATACATTGTGAAATGCTTTAAGATAGCAAATGGAAGTATCGATTGAAGGAATACGCGTATGCTAAATACGTTAGCTACAGTTCTTCACATAATATGTGAATCGATTCATGGTATTTAGGACTTGATAAATTTGGTTTAAGCACAAGTGCGTTTATCAACTATTTATCTCATTTGTGTCCGAATCACCAGTAGTGCAACACAACATACAATTACGTCCTCAACTGATTTACAGAGTGAAATTAAGTCTAACGAAGGGAGGTGACGGATAAGAATTTATTTCTTGGTTTAGGCAGATTGCCAGTAGGAAAGAGCGTACTAGAATATCATAAAGGCCTTACATCATTATGTATGATAGATAGTATTCCATGCGTTACTGATAGAATATTCCTCGTACACCTCTTCACAAAGCACTTGAGTATCAATCCAAAGTTTTCTTCCATTCTCTGGACGCTTGTCAGGATCAGCATCACAACACCGCTCGGCAAGTTTTTTGTATTCCTCTGGTGCGGAATCAGGCATCGGTGGTCGTAGTCCATCCATAATCTCGCGTATTAAACTTGTATCAAACTGCCTATCTCCAAATGGTGGTTCACCAGTGGCCATCAAATACATAATAATACCAAAAGAATACACATCTGATTTCTGAGTAAATCTGCGAGTATGGAAGACTTCCGGTGCAATAAATGGTAAGGCGCCTCGAATGGTTGACTCACGTAAATTCACTGATTGTGAGAGACCAAGATCGCATATATATGGGTGTACTAGTACGTCATTATGCAAAACTATGTTTCCGCTATTAAGATCACAATGCACTAATTCCACATCGTGAATATTTGTCAGTTGACTTGCAATCTCGTTCAAACACCGTAATTTCGTCCTCCACGTCAACTTGTGAATATTTTGATCCAAATAAGACAAGAGACTACCATTGTTAGTATGTTGCTTAACAATCATGTACTCTTTTGTTTCTGGCTCTTGTGTCACTCCATAAATTGGAAGGAATGAAAAATAACGTGAACACTTGGCATGATTTCTGAACTATAAATAAAATACATACGGAGTCAGATTAAACATCACTTTAATTAATAATACCAATTATCGCTTACCTCGGAAATGAGTAATTCCGACGTTTCATCAAAACTCTTAAACCGTTTGAGTACAACAATTAGTGGCATACGCATTTCTTCTTCTTTATATTTGGCAGCATAAACTGTTCCGTAACAACCAGATCCGATCTCTTTGAGGCCATAAAAGTCGCTATACTGCATGTACTTTAACCATTCATAAAATTGTATAATCTTATCCAATATCGGACGTATTTCATGGTAGAAGACTAAATAATATTCCCGAGTAGATGGCTCCTGAGTGATCCCAATTATCCAAACATTATCTGGTGTTAATATTCTGGGGTATTCCCTAGTTAACTATTTGAGTAAACAAATGTGGTCATTACAACAATAATCTGTTTTTAAACGCTGATACACACGTTAACATTTTACACGTGAAATAATTTACCCGATGAAAATCAAATAACTGATCATCCCCTTCGTCAACAATCTTTTTGAGTGTCACACGTATCAATTCATTTGTTCTCGTTTCTGACCAATCTGCTGTATGTGTACATCCATGACGTAATGATGTCATCTCTTGTATGTTTGTCAACAGAGAGTATTCAATCCATTGTATATATGCATCATGTTCATTCTCTATATTACTCCACGACTCCATAATGAATGAATCCAGTGACTTGTTACCCGTAGTCCAATCAGGAGGTCTTGGTGCTTTACATTTATAACAGAATGCATTTATATTACGTTCAAACGTTCCTGCACATGCGAGACATAATCCATCCTCACGTTTTATCAGCCAATACTTTTGTTCTTTTGTATCGTACGTAAATCCAATAGCTGTCCAAACATTATTGATAAGAATATCTGGATGCTCATCACATAACTAATGGAAACGATACATAATAATAAGTCAATAATTATTTAAACTATTCAATAAACATGACGCGCGTAAGTAAATAATTTACCTCGGCATAATATAAATCATGTGTCTCGTCTGTTATCTCAAGTGGAATCAATTTAATATCTGCATAAGTAGGTAGATCATCCAAAAATGGATGATCTCCCCCTCCCCCACGGATAATACAATCAAATGGAATCCACTCCAAATAGTGCTCATTTGCAGAGTTTGTTTTTATTTGAGATTTCTTAATAAACTCGTCGAGTTGCTTGTTGTTGCTAGTCCATCCACTGGATAATTGTTTATGTCCACAGATGCACCACACGGGACTACATCGGAGTATTCCGCATGCGGAGCAGAATCCATATTGAGAATAAAAATGGTAAAACTTCCTATTAGTAACCATGTAATAGTTATCATCGCACTTGGTAAACCCCGTTATTAGTTTGTTGCGACCCTCAAGCCATGTGGAATATCTTTTAAAGTTGCCGCTCTTACTATTGTGCTTGTGCGTTGGAAGTGAGTATAATCTGGTAAACTCACTCACAAACGTTGGTGTACATTCTCCGTTACTTCCAAGGGCTACCAGCATTATGATAAAATTGTAACGACTAGCATAGTAGACATTGTCAATTTGAGTTGGCTCTATGTTGGTGATTTCCGAGCAAGGAATCCATTTAAGTCGTAAGTTTTCGTTTTCATTTTCACTTTCCAAGGAGCATTGAACCACGTTGTCAATTGCTGGGTTATTAACAGTTTCTGATGCTAACGACATAGTTTGAATAAGAAGTTTCCCAAGTAGATTGAGCATTCTCTATGTTTATTATTGTGTTACATCACATCACTAGACAATACTGCGTTGAGTACTACCGTCCCAACATGGATTAATGTAACTTAATTATAGGCCCTATATACGTGTACTGCAATTGATTATTGTGCATCTCACGAGTTCCATTTTTAGTTAAGTTTCGATCTTGTCGTGCCAAAAATATGGACTAGTTATAACACAAATACCATGCCAATTATTATTTATTGACGCCGAAAGAAATACGCCCTGATGAGTGTCAGTATTTCCAATCTTCCAAAACTTGCACTATACAGCGGTAACGACTCTAATATTTATACAATCATCGGGAGATACCAAATTCCGCTGAAAATTGTAAAATGGTATTAATTACTTTTTATTAAGCTTTTATCGCATTAGAGTTATCACTATACAAATACATTCTATACAATATTGTTCAAGCCTCTACTCTACCTTTTTATTCTTTGAACCTTTTCAATAATAGACTACTCAGTACAACACTAATCGAACTACAAACCATAGCTAATCCAGCCAATTCAGGTGGCAACCCCTTTTTAAATACGGGGAAAAATACTCCAGCAGCTATTGGAATAGCCAGAATATTATACAGAAAAGCCCATATAAAGTTAATTCTTATTCTTTTAATTATTGCTCGTGATAGCTGTATCATTGTAATCAGCGACGCAAGAGTAGATCGCGTGAGTATAATTGATGAAGACTCGATCGCAATGTCGGTGCCAGATGCAATCGATATCCCTAGATCAGCCTGAGCCAAAGCGGGTGCATCGTTTATCCCATCTCCGACCATAGCCACGACTGGTCGATTGTGCTTGACAGATGCAGTGGATTTCTCTTCTGGATAAGCATTATGTTTCTCTGACTTTTCAGACTCTTGTCTGTTTTTGATCAACGTGCAATCTTCTCGCCGCCGCTGTAGCCATTTGATCTTTTCTGCTTTGTTTTCAGGTGTTACTTGAGCAAGGACATTATCGATACCCACTTGTCTAGCTATCTCTCTAGCCGCAATGGGATGATCTCCAGTAATCATCCATACGTCTATTCCCATACCCTTTAGCACGCTAATGGTTTTAGCCGAGTCGGGGCGAACAACGTCAGCTATTCCAAATTGAGCGACAATAAACCGAGAATTGTTTGCGGTTGTCTTATCATCTGCATTCGTGTCCATGGCAATGGCTGCTACAACAACTGATTGTCCCTGTTGACGCCATTTGGTGAGTGCAGATTGTGCTTTTTGTTTGGAAAGGTTGGGTGGGTAATCAAAGCCAAGAGAATCAATCCAGTCGTAATTACCAATGTAAATGGTGAATCGAGGGCGTGCTGATGACACGTTGTATGGTAAAAGTGTTGATGATGGCGGTGACGAGATGGTGACTGTAGCGTGCAATCCCTTACCGGGTACTTCTGTTGCCGCGTCGAGCGTAATACTAGTCGACCCATTGAACGACATGAATGACTGACACTCTTCAGCATCTGCTTGCTGAAAATCTGGTTGCAATTTGGCAAGTATATATTGTGACACTGCGCGTGCGAGTGGATGATCACTTGCCGACTCGACAGATCCAAGTATTCGTAGTAGCAATTCCTCTCTTTGCTGTCTATCCTTTTCAGTCAACTCGTCATTTTTAGCATCATAAAGTTCATAATCGACAACCTTTGGCGTACCATATGTGAGAGTACCCGTCTTGTCGAATGCAATAGTACTAATGCGACTGGCTATTTGTACTGCTTCTCCACCTCCCTTGATTAATATTCCCAGTCTAGCTGCGACTCCTGTACCAACCATGATAGCCGTTGGAGAAGCTAATCCCATTGCGCATGGACAGGCAATGACTAAGACTGAAATAGCAAAAAATAGTGCAAACACTGGATAACTCTGATTCTCTGGTATCCATCCCTTGGGAACTGCGTTGGCAGCTCCAAGGATTATCCATATCGCAAAGTCGATTAAAGATATCAATATTACCGCTGGAACAAAGTACTGTGATATCTTATCAGCTAATACTTCAATCGGTGCCTTTTTTGATGCTTGTGCTTCGTGCACCAGACTTATTATTCTAAAGAGAGTAGTATCCGATCCAACGTGTGTTACTCTAATCCAAGTAGGCGAGGTAAGGTTGACCGTGGCTGACATTACCTGGTCTCCCTTGGATTTAGCGACTGGTATTGGTTCACCGGTGAGCATTGATTCATCAATCGTGGTAAGGCCGCGGATTATTGCTCCATCGCAGGGAAACTTTGCTCCAGCGTTGACTTTGAGAATATCGCCAACTTGATATAAAAAAAATATTATTAGTAAGCTTTTTTTTTTTTTTTTCGAATAATTTTTTATCTCATTCTAATAGAATTATTGCTTTACCTTGTATTAACGCTAGATCAACTTCTTCCTCAATCTCTTCGTCACTGTTAATTTTATTCTCTTTTACTAGAATTGCCTTGTCCGGTTGCAATTCCATTAACTTAGTAATACTGTCCAACGTCTTTTCTTTCGCCATTGCTTCCATCCACTTGCCAAGCCATATAAAAGTAATTAGAAATACAGAAGTCTCGAAAAATTGCATTCCATCCGAGTCACTTTCGTCTGCAATCGCCAACATAACGTTGGCGATTGACCCAAAATAGGCAACAGATGTCCCAATTGCAACAAGTGTTTCCATGTTGGCCACGTGTGTATAACGCAGTGATTTATATGCTTTGATGTAAAATGGAGCTCCAAGATAGAATTGCACAGGGGTAGCCAGCGTAAATAAAACTAGAGTAGCAATGTCTAATCCGGGTGTAATTTGAGCGTGTAGCCTCATTCTGACTGGATTGTCGTGTGGTAACCATAGCATTATAACCATTGCTATAAGAAAGGTAGGAATGGCGGCAGCAAGAGAAAAAAGAAACCTCCTTTGAAGCAACCGTTGTTGTTTTATTACTCGCTCTCGTACTAGATTTCTATTTGATTGGGTCAGCATTAGTTTGGCATCGTATCCAACATTTTTGACTGCATCTATTAGATCTCGGGGTCCTGTAACACGTGACAGATGCTCTACCGATGCTTCATTAAGCAAGAGATTGACATTAACCGATAGCACTCCTGGTAATTTTCGTAGAGTGTCTTGTACGCTATTGACACAGGAAGCACATGACATGCCGATAATAGACAATCGAGTTGTAGTTGGAGGCAATTCAGTGTTACCAACGTCTGATATCTGCGTAGTAGTCCTGGTAGCGTTGGTTGCTGACTTGTATTCAAGGTTCTGAGGCTGAATAATGACCGAATCAACTTCATACCCAACATTATTGATAGCATCAATAACAGCCGTTGGAGTGAGCGATGGATCGGTAAAATTGAAGCGTGTGTCTCCAGTAAGTAAATTGACGACGACAGATTCGGCAATAACGGATGGGAGTGATTTGACAGTTCTTTCAATTGTTGAGACGCAACTAGCGCAAGTAATTCCTAGTGTGGTTAAAGATGCCTTGTATAGTGTGTTATGGTACGACGAATCTATGATTATAGATGGAATATCGCTTTGATTATGATGGGCCATTGTTGAGAAAGTGATGATAATTTAGCAAACACTGTATGTGCGCACCTGTAAAGAGTCTCTTATTATATAAATACTGGGTTATGCAACTGAGGAAAATGCTGGAACTGAAAATTATGATGTAATCAATAATTGTATAATATAAATATTATACTATTCTTACGCGGTTGCGGGATTTTTGCCATGACTGATTGATTTGTGGCACAAAAGTAGCGCCAGACCAAATATGGGTAATCCCGATGATCAGCTTAGCAGCAATTATAATGGGCCCCTTGTAAACATTCGAAAAAGCGACACTGTTTATAAAGAAGTGCTTATTGTTATTTCTAACAGGGCTATTTTTTTTTTTCGTTTGTTGCATCGATAAAGTGTTTATAATGAGCTTGTCTATTATAATAATAACGTATATGGCTACGAGTATCATTCATTATCTCCAGTATTTAATTATTATAATTGGCTGCGGTTGAATTCTCCTGAAACCTAGTACTAAATAGAATTTATATGGCAAAGACTGACAAGCAGCATTCTTCAAAACAACAATCTATCGGCGAATTAATCTGACCAATAAAAAATGTGATCCAAAAAATAGCTCAATTGCATTTGATCGCAGGGATTATGTATACAACTGTTTAGTTATTAAAAGGCATTATCAAGACGACAATAAACCACATCTCCCTTAATATTAATTAATCTTGATAACAAACTTTATTATTTTATTGAATAAAGTTTGTTAATAACGATGCATACATGCCGTTAACTATCACGGACGACTCCCACTCATACAAGGGTAGTGTTCAATTAATTAATTGACAATCCATTATCTATGTGGCGTATGATTTATTTCATGTTGGTTTTTGCTTCCGTGTAACAAGCACCCTTAATTCCCTCAATTTCGTCAAGGCTGAGTGGACATTGTATTTGCTAACAATGAACCATAATAATTGTAACATCCATTTCAGAATAGCTGCATGCTGAGTATGCATATCTATGATGACTGTTATTTAACATACTATATATAGTATCGGGTGATGCATTAAAGTAATACTTAGACATGCTATTATTATGGTAAAGTGGTTGAATATGCCGATACCACAATAACGAATTTGCTTGTATATTTCGAACAAACAAAATACAATTTTCGATTAGCGTATTTCCCCCATTTGGGAAGTCGATAGACTAAAATTGCTATAATTCGAAGAATTAAATACAATCTTTGTAAGTTGATAGTTGTCTTGAGTGGGTATCCTGACTTGAAATTTACTGAACAGGCTAGCTTGTTGGCCATAAATGTCAATCAATAAAAATAACTAGCGTCTGTTACGCTTTTTTTCGATAGCTATATTGATGTCCGAATAAGTATAGATTGTACTGATAAACGAATATGGAAGACATTTGATTATGTACTTTTTAAATAACTTCGAGTCAATTTTATTTCATAGCAATTTTAGTCTATCGTGAAGAAATGTCTTTACTCCTAAGGGGAAATACGCCAATCGAAAATTGTATTTTGTTTGTTCGGAATATACAAGCAAATTTCGTTATTGTAGTATCGGCATATTCAATTACTTTACCATAACATGTCTCATAAGCATTACTTTAATGCATCACCCGATACTATATACAGTATGTTAAATAACAGTCATCATAGATATGCACACTCAGCATGCAGCTATTCTGAAATGTCTTGCGAAAGGGATTTTATTGTTAGAAAATACAATGACTTTGCTTATTATCGTCTCTTTCAACGACCACTTAATTGGTTAGTGGTACCGCAAAGCTTTGTGGATTATAATTACTGTAGTAATAGAGTTTGTATAGGCCCTCAACTGAGACAGTCTTCAGCTATTGTCTCTGTCCAGAACTGAGACAGGTCTCCAACTGAGGTATAACATGTATACCATCCAATAATTGTCAAGACCATTCTCGACCTTGTGTTAGTGATAGCAAGATTACCAATCTCCGGTTTGAGTTTAACAAAGTACTATATTCGTGAGATGACTCGGATAAAAAAGACATGATAACCTTGAGGCGGTAGTAGCATAGTAATAATGGTCTATGTGTGAAGGATTTGATAGTTGTATTAGCGACGAACATGCTAAAATGAGGTATACTGTATTTATCGATTAAGGAGTTATGTAATCTATGATTCTAGAGATTCATCGCTCATTTTACATTCAGAAATCTAAATCCTTTACATCAGTGACAAAAGCGCTTAGGACAGGACGTAAAAGCCGTATTGGCTCTGAAACAACCAATTACCCTTTATATCCCCAAAAGCATTGATGTTCATAGCTCAGGGGAGAAAGAACGGGTGAGACTTATTTCATACACTCTACAGTTATTAAAGAATATAACATACATTTAGGTGAATCTACGTGTAAAGACAACAAACATGCACACCTTATAATAAAAATCGCTAAAGTTTCACCACACACTTAAACAGCATCGAATCTAAATCACATTTCTAGCAATCCGCTTTTCGTCGTATAAGTATATATTACTTTTTTCATCAATGATAATGCTGCGCTTAATTTAAGCTTTTACTTTAATCGCCAACTACGACAATCATACTAAATAATAGCAATTCTGCTAATACTAAGCATATGCCCATTTTTTTTTTTGTTTAGAATGTCAATTTAAAGAATACGTACCAATAATGCGCGTTTTTACTGTTTCTTTTCTAGAAAAATTATTTAATATCAATCCGGTACGTACGTATTTACCTTAGCGTTTGAGGTTGCATAATATTCGTGCTCGACGTGTAGTTCGGTGCAAGGACGTCGGAACTCGTTTGCATCACCTTTCTTTGCCTTCAGCTATTATGTGCAGATTTTCTTGCTTTGTTGTCACCCGAATGCTTAAAGCAATGCATCAATACAATTAATCTATTTGGGCAACAGATGGGTAGTTTGAATATTAGTCTTACAGCCGTTACGAAAAGAGCGGATCTAGAAAAGATTGCAGGTGGACAGTAAACGTGCACAATTTTATTTGGAAAAGTAAAACTGTGGATTACAGGTTTATTCAACAAGTGTTTGAGTCACTAAATCATAAGCAGGGACGATGTTAATATTGTGAATTGACTGCATCAAATTGTTGTCTTCATATCTGCAGCCGAATCTAAATCTCGGTTTAGGCAGATCTCCAGTAGGTAAGAATATTTACTCTCCTTCTCGAGACGTGATAAGGTTTGATATCATTATGATAGATAGTATTCCTGCGTTACTGACAGAATTGTCCGGTACGCCTTTTCAAAAAGTCTGTCAATAATATTCGAAAGTCTCTGTGCATCTGGATGCTTACCAGGATCAGCGTCTGGTGCTGAATCAGGCATCGATGGTCATAACGTTGCATACTAAATCTCTATCGAACTATCTCTAAAAGGTGGTTCACCAGTAGCAATCAAATACATAACGATACCAAAGAATACACATCTGATTTCTGAATAAATTTGCAAGTATGAAAAACTTCTGGTGCAACAAAAGGTAAAACGCCTCGAATTGTTGAATGTGACTTACGCGAATTCATTGTCCAAGAATGATTGTGTCTCACGCGTATTGTCATGTTTCCGTCATGACGATTGCAATGTTGATCGGATACCATGCAACTTCATCCTTCACGTCAATTTGTCCTTAAGACTACAATTGTTAGCATTCTGCATAACAATCAACTGCCGTTAATTCGGGCACCAACTTTCCAAAGTCATTGTCCGAAATAACGTAGATGGACGAATAATCGATTTATGGAAATTTTATTGTTTATACGATAACCTACGATAACATGAAACTTGACTTTCCTACTTTACACTCGTTTGCCAGATTACGATAGGATATAGAAGGATTATCTCTTTGACGTTTACATATTTCCTTCTTTTGTACGGCAGTTAAATGGTATATGGGTTTAGCAGTATCGTTTCTGTAATAATCCATCAAACTCTTTTGTAATTGAAAAGGAGTGAATTTGAATAAGCGTCCGAACTAACGTTAGAATAATTTACCATATATAGAAATGATTTCAAAAGGCCCATTTTAATCTGTCAGATAAGAAAAAAGCAAGTCAAATCATTATTATCAAGTTTGAAATTAACCTTCTGGTGCACAATAATTGTCGTTAGATTTTTGATACTTGGTTCTAGCAAAAGAAAATGTAAACAATTGTTATCGAAAAATGAATTGACAATATACTTCCAAGGGCGTATGCCGAGTTTGCTTTGTCCACTGGTTTGTGCATAACATCCCAAAGCATCGGGTATAAGGCTTTTCCTAATTCAGCATTCAGATTTTTTCTCATCATAAGACTTAGTTCTGTAAATATTTGGAATAAGTGCATTATCAATAATACTGTACTTTATTGTTTACACTTGTCAATGGTTCTATAAATATTGATACTGCTAACTATAGTAATAGAGCAGCAGATACACAACTATTGTAAAATGGTGCCTTTTTCCAACCTGAGGATAATAAGCAAGTTGATTAACTTGTGCATAATTTTATTCCTTTAAAAGTATTGATTATTGTTTTATGGTTTAGCTGATTAAATTTGTAAAAATGTTAACAACTTACATCAGAGGACGAATAGATGCGACTGCTGAACAAGATAGAAGTCGCGTGACAGACACGTGTGAATCACGATACGCGGTTAACACAAATTTGCCTGACTAAACCTAATACCGGAAGTTCTAAATGAGGTTTGGAATCTATTCACATAACGAGAAGTTTGGAGAAAAGGAAGTTTTTGAATGCTGGAAATGGTTTCTCGTTAAACTTTTATTGATAGAACCGACAAAAAAGACGGGGAAAAGGAAAAAAGAATTAAAGGATATAATGAAATAAAATCTTGGAACATGCTTCAAAGTCAACCATCATAAGTCCAGCCTTGATACTGGTGATATCACGCCTCGTGATCTTTGCGGACTTGTCGATGTGATTGACAGCAACATCCATTCTGCCTTACGTGGCAGAGACGAAACAGTAATGAAAAGCAAAGTTTAATCATACATAAATTTTAATATGCATACAGTCAAACATCGTTATACCGAAGTTCGTTATACCGAATTTCACGTTATACGGAATTTTAATAGTAAAGTCGCTTTATACCGTTACCGCAGGATTTTTGTATTGTTACTAGTCTCGCTATAACGAAGTTTTGTCACGTGATAATAATATTAGTTACAATTATTGGTTGCAGCAAGTTATCAGTCGTACAAATTTCTGTCATGCGCTACGATATATCTGTACTTGTAGCATTCCTAATTCAGCTATCATTGTCAGATTTTCGGTTGAATTATTGCTCGTTTATGTTTATCATACGATTTTTCGGTTGTTCTTTTGCATTCATTTATAATTGCTTGTTTTATTTAGCGTCTATCGTACAATATTTCTCATTGTCAGCATACGATTTTCAGTCATACGATTTCAGTCATACGATTTTCAGTCATACGATTTTCAGTCATACGATTAAATGTTAAACTATACATAACCGCATTTTAGGATTTAATAAAAATCGTTATAAAACGGCGAGAATACGTATTTGTTTTTCAAATCTTCAACGCATAATTCAATAAAATGTCTCAAATCAAACAACGTAACCTTATTTCGGCATTGCAAAAGCGCGAAATTTGCTTGTTAAAGAAAGATATATCAAAACCAAAAAACGCGGATCTAGCAAGACAATTTGGTATTAGTCCAGGTCAAGTTACAGATATTTTGAAAGAATCTGTCAAATGGCTTGCAATCGATCCGAATTCTTACCAAGCAAAGTTGAAAAAAGCACGTCCCTCGACTGTTACAAATATTGAAGAAGTGCTGATTATATGGATCGAGAAGGCGCTTGAATTTAATTTAACGATTACAGGCTCCCTGATCCAACAAAAAGCTTTGAAATTTGCAGAGATGCTAGAAACGACTGACTTTAGAGCATCATCAGGTTGGCTTCAAAAGTTTAAACAAAGGTATTCTATTCGTACATATAAGAAACACGGCGAATCTCAAAGCGCGCCAATTGAACAAACTCCGGAATTGAGAGAAAATTTAAAAGAGATCACGAAACAATATCGGCCAGAAGATATTTTTAATTGTGATGAGACAGGCCTGTATTGGAAGATGGAACCTACACGTGGATTGTCAACTAGACCTGTGTCAGGAACCAAACAAAGCAAAGAGAGGGTTACCATCTTGTTGACATGCAATGCAATTGGAACAGAAAAATTAATTCCCTTATTTATCCATAAATACCAGAACCCATGCTCATTGAATGGGATTAGTAAGAATTCATTACCAGTTGATTACTACTGGAATTGCAAAGCATGGATGCAAATTTCCATATGGAACAATTATTTGAAAAAGTTAGATGAAAAAATGCGTAGTATGGATCGGAAAATAATATTATTAGTAGATAATGCACCAACACATAATTTACTGAATGATATCAACCTAACGAATGTGACAATCCATAATTTGCCACCAAACACAACTTCACATTTACAACCATTAGATGCAGGAATAATTCATAGCTTTAAGGTTTGTCATTGTTGTAAATACTATAGATATTGTTGTCATAAACAAAAAGTTCTAAAACCATTTATTATAGGCTAACTATCGAAAACTGCTTCTTGAAAAGAAAGTAAAAGATTTTGATAAACAGACAACCGGTAATAATCCAAGACCATTTGATATTAAAAAAGCTATAGATTATGTCGCTAAAGCATGGGATAGTGTTACATCAACCACAATCGCTAACTGCTGGGTGAAGACCGGAATTGTTTCCTTAGAAGACCACGAATTATCTGAGGAAAGGATAGAAAGAGCAAGCAATATAATAACTAATATTGCTTCCCAAGAGCAAGAAAATATTCAGCATTTGATCAACAGTTTATCAGTTGATGCTCCACTAACCGCCACGGAATATATAACGGTTGATGATAAAGATGCAAATGATGAAATGGTAACAGATGATGAAATTATTTCTTTATTTTTGCCTGCAGAAGAAGAAGAAGATAATGATGGTGAAATAGCTCAATGCCCACTGTTTTAACTAAAGATGCTGTAGTTGCATTTGAAACAGCATTGAACTTTCTCCAACAAGGTGATATAGAGATAAATTATAATGAGCTAAAAATGTTTCGTGCATTAAAGAGAAAAGTGGAATTGCATAATGTTGCAAACAAAAAACAAGCACAAATAGACTCATTTTTTACTGGTTAATATAGCTAGTCTTATAATATCAAGGTTTTTATTTGTCATAAATTGAAATAAAAATATTTATCTGCAACATTTCATTATACCGAATACCTTGTTATACCGAATCATTGATGCCCCCCCCCAAACCTTCAGTATAACGAGGTTTGACTGTATTATTGTCTCTCAATCGAACAATATGTATTATCATATGAGTACATATTATATCACCTGAGTACATTATTGTCTTTTTGACACTATTACTATATTGTTATCTATCAGTTATCTACAAAGCAGTAATTGCCTTACTGCTAACTGAGACATTGTTGAGTATTTGGTTGGGATTAATAACTCTATTTTTATGGCGTTGAGTTTCTTTATATCAGATTTTGCATCCTTACCACTTGCTAATGCAATAATCCACTTTTCTAATGCTTTAACAATGAATGTTCAAAGACTCTCGCACATAACCCTATCCTTATAAAGCTCCATCTTCACCACACCCAACAATGGCAATTGGAGAATATTTCTCCACACATCCTCGTTGACAAATTTGGACAAGTTATTATCATTATGTGATATTTCGTTCCTGTCATAAAATTAAGTTTTAGTCTAAATCTCAGTTCAATGCTGTACAACCCAACATATTTGTATGTATTACCCACCCATATCTTCTCTCAATATTCTTCTGCTCATTGTTTGAGCTGCTTGTTTACTTGATATCAGAGGTTGCTCGACACATTCAAAATCTTCTCTACAAGATCTGGGATTGTGGGGTGCAATGTCTTTTTATTTAGTATTTCTGAAGCCATTTTTCAAGGAGCTCTGCTGACGTATTTCTTGTACATAAAAATAGAGCTCTGGCTTCCACATACAACTGATCTTTGATCTCATGCTATTACAGATTTGCAAAGTATTAGTACTAGAAAAGATGTGCAGTAGTTATATGATTAGCATGCTCACCCTATCATTTCCAATCATCTTCCCAACATCTTCAGAAGGTGCAGATGAGGGCAATGGCTCAAAACAAGCCTGACTTGTGTATCTGCCTAGAGGATATTGCTGTAGAACTCATTTTCTGTGAGTTCTCATCACTAGAGATGGGAATGCCAAAGCATTGTGACAATTGGAGAAAGTCAGTTCGTGCATGCAAAGATGGGTATGATATGTTCCATGCTATATGCTTTGAAGGGAAAAAGACAGATTGCAATGAGGCAAGTAGATTAAAAATATCACTAAATGATATACCAAGTATTGCAATCTTGAACAAAGGGACACATTTGACA